CCTCCCCCTCCTCCGTCTCCACCCCCACCTCCTCCCCCGGCTCCACCGGCTGAACCTCCTGCCGACGCCAATCTGATCAAAGATGGGAAGAGTCTGATCAACTCTTACTGCGCGAAGGTGAGGATGCACTTGCTCCTGCTCCTGCTCCTCCTGCTCCTCCTCCTCCTCCTCCTCCTCCTCCTCCTGATCATCATCTTCTCCTCCTCCTCCTCCTTCTTCTTCTTCTTCTTCCTCTTCTTCCTCTCTCTCCTCCTCCTCCTCCTCCTGCGCTTCCTTCCTTCCTTCCTTCCTTCCTCCTCTTAGTGCTGCCGCTGCTACTCTTCCTCCCCCTTCCCGTTCCTCTCCCTCTCTCTCACCCTCATACGGTAAACTTTTTTCTGTGCAGTGGCGAGACGAGAAAACTTTCAGCGCAACGGACAAGCAAGTGAAGTATATGATCCAATGCATGCAGCAGGTGACCAGCAACTTATTTCCTCTCCCTGCCTTGTTTCCTCTCCTCTCCTCTCCTCTCCTCCCCCCTCCGCTCCTCTTCTCTCTTCTCCTCTCCTCTTCCTCCCTCCCTCCCGTCCTTCCCTACTGTCTTGTCTCTTCCTTCCTCTCTCTGACGTATCTGCTCCACCAGGACTGCGTGCAGAGTTTAGAAGGAGGAGACCCCAACAGCCCGACACTCTTTGGCTGCAGATTCCTCGATGTCGATGGTTTCTGGTATTGCAACTCCCACCTCTTCCTCCTCCCCTTTCCCTGCCCTCCGGCTCCTCCTTCCCTTCCCTGGCTCTGCCCCTCCTTTTCGTTCCCCCAATCCCTCCCTCCCCGTGGCTCCTCCTCAATCCCTTCCTCTTGTCCCCCTCCTCTCTTGCTCCCCTCCCCAACCTACTTGCGGTCCGTCCCTCTCCTCGCTCCTCCTCCTTCTCTCCTGCTCACCTTCCCCTCTAGCTATGCCTACGGATCCGCTCAGATGTGGTGCCGCGACAATCCCACGAGCAGCTACTGCAGCGATGGAGGAGAAAACTTCGCCATCCCCCCGCTAGGTCCTTTCCCTACCGTGAAGCTCCTCCTCACCCCCTGCAGGCTCCGCTTCGGTCGCTCACTGGCTGCCTAAGAAGGTGAGGAGGAGAGGAGGAGGAGGAGGAGGAGGAGGAGGAGGAGGAGGAGGACTGAAGATTGTTGTCAGAATATTCCGATTTACGATGGAGAGGCGATAAGTGGAGCAGCACCTTATGGGTGTGCCTGCATGCCTAATTGCAGCTGCACGAAGAAATCATGCAGGTAACCTCCTCTACTTCTCCTCCTCCTCCTCTCCTCCTTCTCATCCTCTTTCAGATGTGTCAACGCCCAGCAAATCTCCGTGGGATCATCCGAGGAGGCTGCCAAGTTCCCGTCCAAGGTTGTTCACCACCTCCTCTACCTCCCCCCCTCCCTACCTCCCTCCCCTTCCTTCTCCTCTCACCTTCTCCTTCAGGTCATCCAGGATGACATGAAGGCTGGCGAGTGCGACTGCAAGTGCGCGGGACAAGACGCGTGAAGATTTACTTGCGCAAGAATAAAGCAAGAGAGCTTAAAGCAGAAGAGAAGGCTGGTGTGAGGAACACTGAAGGGAGGGGGAAGGAGCTGACTGAAGGAGAAGCAGCAGGAAAGGAAGTAGGAGGTGACAACAAAGTGAAGAGGGGAGGAGGGAGAGGAGAAGCAAGATGAGAATTTAGATCTCATTTCCCAATGCAGAAATCCACGAAAAGCTTGTCTGTAAGTTCATGTTAGAGCCAATCCCTCCCTCCCTCCTTCCTTAGTTGTGACCTCCCACTTCCTTTCCTGCTGCTTCTCCTTCAGTCAGCTCCTTCCGCCTCCCTTCAGTGTTCCTCACACCAGCCTTCTCTTCTGCTTTAAGCTCTCTTGCTTTATTCTTGAAGTGAACGTGACTCAGC